TGATGGTATTAGAGGTTCTTTTAAGTTCTTCAAGTTATATGATGGTCTCCTTGACCTCTTTGTAGCAAAAAATGTACGTCATCTCGTGAAACTAATATGCTTTATCAGAAAAGCGAATTTATCGTTTCAAATTATTTTTTGCGTTCAATCATTTTCTATTATTATAACATTCCTTTTTTGTTTTCAGCCAAAGTTTGCAACAATGTTCTTTTTTTCACATGACATTTAACAACTCAGCACTCTACAATTGCACACACACCCACAATTCCACTTAACATATCAACTTTAGCCATTACGGACTCATTTTTTGTTGTGTTTTATATATACTTCTTAGCAATAATTACGAGTGTTTATTATCTGGATATATAAGCCACAAATTAGTTGGCTTGGTCCGCCTTAACTCAGCATCCCAAAAAAAAGGAAAAAAAAGTGTATAAAAGCTTCAAAATTTTAGAGAACGAGGATGTATAAATTTTAAAAGAATTTTTTTTTTTTTTTGGATTGTTGGGTGGAGATGGACTAAGCCAATAAAAGAATTTAGGTAGAATTAAAATTGCAACTTGTGAAAAGACTATTGAAGTAATAGCCATAGCTACTGGGAAAACTCTAAAAAGTCGGCAGTAATTGCAAATAAACCGCATGGTAAGAAACATATTATATTGAAACCGTAATTTGCCTTTCTTTGCTTACACCAATGGTCCTGTCCGACGCATTAAGGGTTTGTGCAAGATGATATAAAAGTTTTTATTAACAAATTAGTTTAAGCAAAACGGTCTTCAGGAAATATTATGGAAACCTCCAAGTCGTCTACAGTTAAGTTTATCATTTCGTCCTTTAAATCCGTAATAAATAGCACATGGTTCTTTTACTTTTCTTGTTCTAAAGCTAAGCTTTGTTTAAGTTATAATTGTTACGCTCTAGACTTCTTGTGAAACAGATTGTCCGATTAAAATTGTCCGAACGTAAGAACACGCAGATGAACTTAGAAGAGACTCAGCTGTTAATACATCAATGGATTCTGTGTCGATCTAACCTTGTCTGCCCGTGTGATATTTGTCCCTGTATTTTTCTGTTCAACCTATAGGTCGCAATTTCGGAAATACTTTTGTCCTTTGGTACAATGATGTGCTTTGGCACAAGGACGAAAGTTATTGAAAAGTGTTCCGATCGGTCCATTTTAATATTTTATGACGACAATCGGTCCATAGAAACAATTTATCAAAAAAATGAATGGTAGGCTATTTGTACCAAGTAGGTCTATATTTTAGACCGTTGCGTATATAAGGACCATCATAAAAAGCAAGCCCTTGATAAAGAGTCTATTGTCCAATTTTTCACGATAGAAACTAAAAACTAATAAAACTTTTGGATCACGTGATTTTTTGAACATCCCCCAATATGCGGGCTGTCACGAAAAATATGTCTTCGAATAAAAATAATATGTAGTTTCTGGTGTATTATTGCCAAACAGACTGAATACGTGTACTACTAGGGTATCCGGCCCAACTATTATGTTCTTACTTATTTATAGTTCAAAACCTTCAATTCAATTTTGCTGATGTGGAATATAAAAAATGTAAAACATTACAAATTTGTTAGTGTTATTATTATTTGATAGAAATACCTATTACGTAATGGAACCACCTAATCATTACCAATGTTTTACCGATTACCGCTACAAAAAAAAGATACGTTATGCAAAACGCGTTAACAAGAATTAGCTGCAATTTTAAGTAATAAAGCGAAAGCAATTTTACTTATAAGCCCATTTCTGTTCCATAAGGATTCTAGTTTGCAAAGATCGATCTTCCTCCATCAAAGAGCACAAACTAATATTGCGAAACATTTTGCCTAACATTTACATATTTATTAACGGAGTTGACACAATCACGCTTTATTAATATTTTTGGATCGAGACTACAACTTTATCCACTTTTCACAAAACTTTATGGTAATTGACATATGGTTTTACCCATATTTACATACAAATAAGTTGAAACCAAAAAAACACTAGGAGATATTGTGGCCGTTTTTTTTTAATTTTAAAGTTATTTATTTAATTTATATTTATCTTACATTCATGCACATTTTTTATATGTTATGTAATTTGTAATTTTGGTTTATAAGACGAATTATCTTGTAAGAAATGAAAAACAAGCAATAAAGTTCATTTATTTTGAAGTTAAAATTGTTTTATTAAAAATCGATAAGTGATAATTTTTAAATTATGAACAAATTAACTCTCGAAGGTTTAAAATTTGAACCGATTATCAAGATTAACCAAAGCGTAATTCCTTATATGTTTGTTGTTTATGTTTGGGCTGATTTTATTTATTTTTGGTTCTAAAACCATATGTTTTTGTTTTTCATTTCCCTGTAAAACAATATGGGAGCTCTGCCACCCATTGAGTTTATCGCTTGGGAATTTTTACCATGAACACGAAAATGACGCCTGTTGGTGTCAGCCACCTAATCGATTATTTTTTAACATATAACTATAACGTACTTTTCTTTTAGAAACTTAAATTTTTTGGTTAACAAGTTTTGATTTTGCTTTTTTTAATAATTGAAGGAGAGTCAAGTATGAAAAACATAGCTTTTGTTGTTGCATTCAGCTGCTTTTATTAAACAGCTAGCTGAAAGAAAGTTTTCAGATACGTGATTACCCCCCTGTTCTTGAAACTATGCACTTTTAGAGTAAATTTGTTCCAAGCGGTAGCTATTTTGGTTTTGCTTACTTTCATAGATATGAAAGAGGGTATTTCACAGCTGTTGTACATATATATCCCAAAAAAAGCAACAATAGTTATCAAACAATAGTAGATGACAATCTGGCACATAACTCCAAAACACCAAAAAAGAGAAAACAAAAATCAAATTATTTATACATAATCAAAGCCAAGCAAACAATGTAATCCCTCAATAACAGGTAACGCGTGGAGTTAATCTTTCTTTCGTTGCGCGAGAAATGATTGCGCAAAAAAAAAGCTTCCATAATTTAAAACACTATAATTTTTTCAATATAGTTTTCATTCATTTGTTGAAAATCCCACAATTTACAACTTTTATTCAGTATAGCTAGAGACTTATCTCCAATTTGTATTGCCAACAGAAGGAAGTGTGCATCGCCGCACTTCGTTTACAAAGAAATATTGATTTTATAATTTTCCAGAATACCTCTATGTTGAATCTCAGTTGGAAATTCACTTACAGTATCTCTTAACTAGTTAATTGATTTTTTGGATTTACACAATATTATTACATACTGTCAAAAACTCCACGTAATTCTGTAATTATACTTGGAAATAAATTATGAAAAACTTTCTCCGCAATGTAGGTGGTCGTATGTCGTAGGTAATAACTCGAAGTTATTTTTAGATATATTGCAAGAAGCCGATGCGATTTTTTTTTAAGTTGCACTTAAATTCCCAGTGAAGAATCATTACAGGGTTAAAACTTCTGTGATAGCCTAACGCTTTCCCTCACAGTTTATAGGGTTCAAAGAAAGGTAACAGATTAATAACAAAGGGGAAAGTCGTTAAGGATGTATATCAATATTAAGAGAAATGTTTTTTTGGAAAATATTAAAAAAACGATAGAATCGAAGCCATTTTTGCGAGTTATCCTTAATTTATGTAGACCCGCTACTCACAGTGTAACTAGTAAATTCAACTTTCAACAATTCAGTAACTAGTGCAAATTCAAACGTAAATAAATCAATTAATCTAAATCTCCGCAGCTAAAGATTTTTAAAAACTTTTGTGCGATTGGCGAGATTTTGAATAAAGGTTACCCAAAATAATAGTACTATTTCGTTAATAAATGGTCTTGACATTATATTAACGTAAAAGCCGCTCATCTTCCTCCCTTCGCGTCAAAATGTTATTTTAAAGAAATTGTAATAAATTTAAACCAAAATAATGAAAATTGCTAGACTCATGTTGCGTGCGGTTTAAAAATCTCGTGTTTCGAGAAAAATGCGATTTAAGTTTCAAAACTCCTAGTATGCTATTCGTTGTATATTATTATGCTTGAAAAATCTAATTTTCCTCCTTTAATATTACTTGATTACTTAAAGAAATTATTTATATTAAAATTGTGAAACATTTCATTTCCTGAAAATATTATACCTACCATTTTATTAATTTAATTTTTGAAGTTAACTTGACTGAAGTGGGTATGGCAAAATTTGAGCCTAGCTGATATTTTGTTTGAAGTTATGTTGAATTTAATTAGTTAGAAAATTATATTCGGCTGAGACAGACCAGCATATAGATATGACTAAATCGATTGAGAATTTAATGCCGATCTAGAATACAATTGATTTATGAGGTTTTTAAAGCTTGCTTTTAGACGTTATAAATGTTTTGACAATAAAAGATGTTGTTCTGGTATACTTTATGTTGGGTGGGCAGTGGGCCGTTTTTTCGAATTTTTTACAGGGACTATAGAATCGTCTATAAAATATACATGCACCTTTTTAGAATTTTATCTGCCGCAGTTTGTGAGTAATGAGCAAAACGCTTATTTTTTTTCCTTTCGGTGTATGGATGAATGTGGATGAAATGTTCATTTTGTAAAAACGTTGGCACAATCTATTAGGCAGCTTCAGGAACCTTATAGAACGCACACTTTCTTGGTCGTTATCAAATTCAAAAAAATTTGAGCATATCCGTCTGTCTGCATAATGCCTGTGACAAACATTATTATCCTGGTCGCAAAAATTAAGACAGCTACTTCAACCTTGGGAAAAACGTTATAAGTTGTTGCAAGCAATTTGATATTGAAAATTGGTCAGATCGGTCAAAAGGCACATCTTTAGCCCAACATAAATCACCTGTTCCAAAAGCAAAAACAAGGGAATTTTGTGTATTATTCATAAACTACAACAATAAATATTTGTATATTGAAAGGTAATATAAAAGATTCGGCCTAAGCCGAATATAATCTTTCAGGTTTTTAAGTATAACTCTACTACAATCTCTTTACGACAAACTTACACATCACGAATTTCACAAGCACTAGCCGTGGGGATCCCTTGAAGCACTTTCTTTCACCGTAAAACTTTGTACATGAAACAGTAGCTCACAAGTAGGAAAATGCTTTGCTTTGAGTTCTACCGTATACACATCTTTTAAGTATGAATCTTACAAATCCAAATACATTTATAAAAAACATGCAGATAAAGAAGAATTGATTTTCTCCCTCAATTTGTATGACTTTCAATTTTAAAATAATGCATATTCACGTTAAGACAATATTAATATCACCAGCTTTATCTCCGGTTTTTCTGTTTATAATTTCTTTAAAATCGAAAACTATTTAGAATCACATTCACACTCACCTGAAACCTTTTTAATTAAAAATTTACCTAATTCTTTAAACAATTATTTGACTGACTTTTGCCTGGAGTCAAGCAAAACATAGAATCCTAATTATTCAACAAGGTAATATCAAACCCAACTTTGGATGGCACACAGTAATGCAGTGGCAAAGAAAACTTTCTATTTAAAAACCTATAACTGCATTCCAGGTTTAAAGTGCATTTTTGGACTTGTTGCGGATTTTTGTATTGTGACGTAGTCTTATATGAAGCATGAATATTTTATAAATGGAGCATATCTCTAAAATATCAACACGCACTACAAGTTATTGTAACTGTATTCAAATCACTAATCAACGGTGAAAACATCAAAAGAAATTTGGTATAAGAGGAGAGTTTTTGATCGACAAGCGTTAAAACGCCAACCATCTGTTTACTTAAGTCACTGAATGTATACACGCTAAACCCGATTAAAAATTAAAAAAAAAGAATAATGACTTTCGAACACCTTCGAACGAAGATTCATATATTCATTTTATTTTTGTCGGACGATATTTATCAATTTTTTTTCCAACGCGAAATACCACAAGTTTTTTTACAAAATAGTTGATGAAATAACCACCAAAAACGAACAGAAAACTAACTAATAAATCTTTGATTGAGGAGACCAGTTGTAATTATTTACAACTTTTTTCTGCTTTTCGCTCAAGCGTTTCAAACGTTTATTGCAAAATTTTTCGTTCTATTCACGTTCACCTATATGAAATCGTCGACGGCACATGGGTGCCTATGCATAAATTTTTGTGTTGATGCAAGGAACATGCACAAAGTAACTAGTATATGTATAATCATATGCACATGAAGGAACTACGAAAATAAATAGATGTATATATATAAGCGTGGGTAGATAACATTCAAAAATGTTATCACATTTTAAACGTGACAAAACCATCTATGCCGTAAAGAAATTATTTTGGCTTCACTATGATTTAATGAAGTTAGGAAAGACCGAGGGATGGAAGTTTTCTATTCAAATAAACTAGCGTAACATGAGGACATGATACAAAGATTTTAGGTTCACATAAACTAAATGTTTAATAATTGCCAATCATAAATTATGCAAATTTTCATATCTTTTTAAAACTATGTAATTAAATGGAAGAGAATCAATTTTTCTTCATGATACCTAATCAAATTCTGACGTTTTGCGAAAAATATAGGGTCACCTTAATTTAGTACACGAATGGTTATACTCAAAGTGTGAAGTTTTCAAGATGGCAAGTTCAGCATGCCAAATAAGTATATTCCAGTTCGAAGAGGATTCGCAGTACAGAATCTTCACAAAAGCAATTCTTCTTTTCACTGTAGAGGCGTAGGTTTACCGTAGACGTTCCCTTCACGCTAATGTTGGCAACTGGTGCCACTGGTTAACCGGTCTTAATAAATGAAGTAAATCCGTGCTTTCTTTCTATTTATTTGTAAATATTTGCAGCTATGCAGGTATTCCTTCTTTATTCTTCAATTATATTGACATAGCGTTATCCTTTAATCTAAAGTGTTGCTTAAATCAGCTAAATCTATGTTGTACAAGCAAGAACTATTGCAAAAAAAGGATTCGCAGTACAGAACTTAACCAAAACAGTTGACAAATTGCCACATCAGGCCGAGGCTCTGCAATTTCGGATACATTCTTCTTTCCTTCATTGTTTTTCAGTGACCACTAATACCAGTGGACAGCTAAACAAAGATATTTATGGTCGACAAAAGTACACTTAGACGTATGTTTTTTAGAGAATGGCACTTCGAAAATGCAGAGTTTCATGAAGCGTTGATTATAATTCATAAGGTTTTTTTTTGTATTATCCCGATCTCCAACAGACACCGATGTATCATAAGAAACAAAAATTTTAGATTGTTTAAACAATGTCAAAATTATGGAAGAATAACTGATTATTTGTCATAGTCGAAGACAAAAATTTAAAAAGCTAATGTTGTATGTCACAACATACAACGTACGGAATATAGAAAACCAAACGCGTAATGAACCTAGAAAATTTTACAAATATGCTGAGTCAAAGCGTAAAGCAAAGGATTATCTCATGCTTATCTATGGTAACTCCGAAGCTTTACCGTCCGAAGCGAACTGTCTAAGATAAATGGGCTGTTTGCAGGTTTATTTGAAAGATCGTATTCTAACATTGACTATATGTTAGATAATTAATCGTACACGATTAATTTTAATATTCTCCCTCATATTGTGGTTTCTGAAAGCGACCTTTTTTTCTCTTTTTGCCATAAAAGCTCTCTTTCCAGACAGTATATAAGATATCTTTATCTTTCAATGCCTTCATATTATATTACTAAAACTTGCATTTGAGAACTCTTACACATGTACAGAGAATAATAAAATGAAAACCACCCAATTAACCTGACACACGTTCTTTCACTGTGTCCGTCACATTCTTTAGTAGTAGCTTACAGAGACTGTGACTTTGAAGACGACCACTGCACGAGAATTATCACTGAAAGAATATTGAAAACTGTAATGTAATTGCAAAATTAGGCGTTTTGGCTAAGTTACTAATATGATTTTTCAGGTAATTCAATTTGTTTTATTTTGTTGGCATCAGAGGTTTTTCAGTGGACTATCTATATCCACACATTCATTACAACTGACTGCTACAGAAAAAGTTGGTGGGATGTACACCGACTAATAGAAAGCTTTTGGCAGAGTTAGTCACAGTTTATTAGTTTCTATAATGAAATCTACTGGTAGGTTTTCGGGGAGAACGGTGACTTAGTTTATATCTTGTCTTACTGCTCAAAGTTAAATTATGCTATTCACTTCAGCTTTTCCTCACGATAAATTCGTATCACCCCAAGGGATTAATCTGGTTTCCTTTTACTTGTCCCATTTATTAATGATACCTGTGTCTGTAACGACAGAGCGCTAACGTATGTCGATGATATTACATTTTTTATTCGTTAGTTTTCATTGCAATAGTAGGATCTAGGTTCACAAATATGTAAAAGTTTGTTTGGGGTGCGACATGTTCCCCACATGTTGGTGACTACCTGGTAGATAACACTTTCACTTTTAAATAATTAGTGGTTGTCGTCGATTCCGAATTAAGATTTGATCGATCTACGGAAGCAATTATAAACAAAGCCATTTCTCTACTTAAAGTAACAGTTTTCCATCGAATATTATTGGTTTATTCAACGTATGTCGACGCTAATCATGGAGCGCGCAAAATTGCATTTTCAAGGTGCATTATTTTTTTGTTTGATTTAAAGAAATCTGCTGCCGAAGCCCACCAAACATGTTCATAAGCTTTTGGTGATGCTGGTCTGCCTTATGCCAATTGTAGGTTTTGATTTCGACGTTGTAAAAGTGGTGATTTTGATGTCAATGTGAAAGAATAGCCTGCAAGGCCAAAAATGTTAAGTAATGCATTGTAAGACTTATTGACCGAAAAACCAGCTCAAACTATCGAACAACTCTCGAATAGCTTAGTTGACAAATCAAAAATTTCTACATGTTTACATATGATTAAAAAACATCCAGAAGGAGGGAAAACGGCTATCTCGCAAATTGATTGTAGATGACATTTCGAACCGTTTCACCATCGGAGTTTCATGGCTTTCTAAGCAAAAGAAAAAATTGTTCTCGGTAGTATGTTGTGATGATGAAAAGTGGATACAGTACGACAACCCCAAACGCAAGAAGCCATGGAATAGGACAGGGGAACTATTCACAGTGACATTGAAGAGGAATATTCATTGCCATAAAATTTAGGTATTCTGATGGTGGGATCAGCAAGGTCTAGTGTATTACGAGTTGCAAGAAGCGGCCGAACAAGGCGACTTCTGAATATCACTTGTTGAGATGGATGCGGGATGGCATGGCTGGCATGCAGCTTCGCAAATTTGAAGGAGTGCGGAAATTGGTCAGTGATTCGATCGGTGTCAAAGCAATATAAGTTCTTTCGACACGATATCGCGATGTTGCCAGAAATATGGTAAAATGTTCTAGAAAATAATGGAAAATATTTTGATTAACATATATTGTAATTTTTTTCAATAAATGCTCTTTTCAAAATTAACGTAAAGTCATACAGGTTGAAAAACAAGCCTTTACAAAAAACATAATAACTGACTGTTTTAGATTGCCTTAAAAGAAGTAAATAAATTCTTTAGAAGTAGAAGCCTTGACCGAAATGTTAAGAAAATACCTTAACCCAAATGTTATAAGCAATCTGTGTAGTACGGAATCAATTATGGGAATCATTTCTATCCATAATATAATATTTTAAAAATTTTCACACATAAGAATTAAACAAACAGCAGACGTACATAATCTGCCAGGAGCATCGCAGAGAAAGATATCCGTTTCTAACTGCCTTAGGAAAATTTACTAAATTCATCATAACAACACTATCATCGTCACAGCAGCTGAACACATCAAGACATTGACAAGACATGCCCAAAATGATATTATTTATTATAAATACATGCACAGTTGGAGTTACACACGTTTGGTATTTCTCTTTTTTCGTAAAACAAGCAGTGTCGTGCATAAAATTTTCTCTCTTTCATTGTAAGTTTTAATATAAATTTTTAAGTATGTTATAAAAGGAAAAATCTTAAAAATACAACAGTAATCAATAACGAAAAAGCACTCCACTGCTAAGAAAAGACGAAAGAGAAACATTACTTACCAGGGAACCAAATTTACGTAAAACACAATAAATGAACAGTTTTAAAATGGAATTTCTGATACGGTAAGGAAAAAGTTAAAGAACTATCATAACAGAATCGGGAATGCTGTATGTTAAAATAAAATAAGAAACTAATTTTAAATTTAAGATACCTGTATGCGACAACTAGCAGGGAAATACCAATTTTTAACTTAAAAATCACAAGTGTTACCGATTCATACCAGACAAGCACGAGCAGTATGCTTTACATTATTACATATAATTGACTTAGATGAATACCAACCAAAGATCATTAAGTTGGAAAAGATAATCAAAATAATAGGATTATTAGACTTCATAAGATTGACTTGGAAATGGATTACGGATAGTGCCAACTACGAAGATCGTTCGACAATTTAGAGCAAAATAAACAATTTACTACCAAACAACCGACATAGGATTATTAATAAACTATATGACCACATTAAGAAAATTGAAGTATAAAAGTGAAATTAAGGAAGAAATATTAGCTTGGAGAAAAAGAAAGCCATTATTTTTTCGGTAGATGGCTGCACTGATAGATTTCTCGTAAAGTATTGATCAAACAATTTCAGATTTATGCTCGTTGGAAAAGTGACATTTTGCAGTAAAAAAATTCTTTTGCTGTTTTTTGTTTGGTGCATTCAGTTGTGAATTACAGCGTGTTAAAAATGGAAGTGAACAAAGAGAAAATTCGGTACATTTTACAGTTTTTCTTTGACAAAGGCGAAAATGCAAGCCAGGCGGCTAAAATTGTGAATG